CGCCGGATTACACTTACCTTTTGGCGAACAGTCCTTCCCCTCTGCCGGTACGGGTGTACGATATGTACCCCATACTGCCATCCAGCTCAGCCCTGTGCTATGGATTTTGAATTTCACTCGCAAATTGCAAGCACTCGTTGGTCAGCGTGGTCAATTGACCAACAAGAAGCACTTCTTACCATGGTTAAATATGGTTTTGAATACAATTATATATATCAGGACAAGTAGATTGTCAGCATGTGTAAAAAAAGGTGCCTAGTTCAGAGTTTACTTAAGACTATACTCTGGTAATGCCCTGAGAATGTTTTTGATACTCCAGCTATGGTAAATCATCATCTGCATAAAAGCTGTATGCATTTTCTTTAAAGGCTATCTAAAACCAAGAACAAAAATTTAATATATTTTAGCTTAGCATATTTTCTTGAATATTCTTGTAATACAATTCCTGCTACAGGGTGACATCACTTCCTCTCCCTACTTAATTTATGTTGGAGCAGTGATGTTGCACCAGAACAGGAAGCCTACTACGACTACAGAAAACCTCCCCATCTCTACGACATATGAGGGTCAGTGGTCTGTTTTGGCATTTTGCTGTTGTTTTTCAGTTCACTAGAGCAAGTTAGGAGCTCACTAGATTTCTGGCAGGATCGGCAGATTTATTTATTTATTTATTTTCCATTTATTATACAAGAACAAAAACACTGTCAACAGCGTATTTAAACAGACCATAGAGGGATAAAGAAGTTAAATTAATTGTAAGGGATGACATACACTGTAAATTGTAGACTAGTAGTCTGCTAAAATTGGCCAACAACTAACCAAATAAAAAAAAAAAATTATAAGACCAATTTTACAAGCATTTTAATATTTTATGCAGAACAACAAAAGATTCAGATTTACATCTCCCCTTTTTGTGTGCATTTAATTAAAGAGATAATCACCATTACGATATCATATTTTAAATACATTTCCTTCTTTTCATGCCAATTTAAATACTTTGTTAAGGGAGTGTCAGTAGGCCATGTGTAGTGTGGGTAATGGGAAATTACTGATATGACTGTTAACATAAAAGAAAATACACATACACACATTTATAGAAGAGATTACCATCTAGCGAGATGTAAATAATAATAAGATATGTTAATGTTACATTTCTCAGTAAAATAATAAGATGCTCTGGGGTATTGAAAAATTCATATCTGTATATTTCTTTACACGCACTGGAAAGGAGTTATGAAAGAGACTAAAGTCGACAGAGCACCAATTATGATGCTGAAAAGTAGTGTTTAAATGGCACATATTTCTCTGTGTAAGCTGTATACAGAATTCATAAGGGGATACCTTTTGTCTTCCCACAGTTCCGCTAACAATAATCCCAATTTATGCACATTGGTCCGCATTTTCATAGTCACAGGCACAAATGTGTTTACTCTAAGGTGCTCTTTGGTCTCACAGGGAAGGGGCAGCACCAGATTACTTGTGTGATTTTATTTATTAGAATTTTTTTTTTGTCTGGCTTCTGCTGGATCAGCGTTTCTCAACCTTTTTTCAGCCACCGTACCTTTTAAGTATGCAAAAACCTTGCATCCCCCCAGTCTAAAATGGAAAAAACACAAAATGTAGAAAACATTTGTTCCTTCAAAAAAAAATATCTTGAATAAGGGTCTGGTATGGATTTAAAAAAAGGGATCCCCCGCAACCCCCCTTCCCCCCCAAACCCAAAACACATAAAACAAATGTGTTCCCTTTCACATCATGAGCCTTCTGCTTTCACATGTGAGTCACCCCCTCTCACACCAGAAGCTCCACATTACTTTAGAGTCACCCCTCTCACATTAGGAGCTCCTCTTTATATCAATGAAAGGGGGTTAAGACAATGACCCAATGTTAGGAGTGCACAGAAACTAACCACCAATGTAAGAAGAGAACAGATACTGACCACCTCTTTCTCAGAGTCACCCCCCTCTCACACTATGAGCTCTGCGTTACATCAAAGTCACCCCTTCTCACACTATGAGCTCCACCTTACATCAGAGTCACCACCTCTCACACTAATAGCTCCACGCTACATCAGAGTCACTCCCTCTCACACTAGGAGCTCCACGTTACATCAGGGTCACCCCCTCCCACTACGAGCTCCACGTTACATCAGGGTCACCCCCTCACACTACGAGCTCCACGTTACATCAGAGTCACCCCCTCACACTACGAGCTCCACGTTACATCAGGGTCACCCCTTCACACTACGAGCTCCGCGTTACATCAGAGTCACCCCCTCACCCTACGAGCTCCATGTTACATCAGAGTCACCCCCTCTTACACTAGGACTTTAATGTCACTTAAAGGTTTGTGTGGGTCTGTGAAACTCTCACTTGTGGCACAGTAATTAAAGCATATTCTGTGGATACTGAAGGACTGTGGGATTTGTGCGTTTTGTATACAGCGAGTATGCTCAGGTTTTATTCAACCATAGCCCTTTAAGACTCTCCCACTGTGAATGCAGTTAAGTCACACCCTCATGCGCTTCATCATTCCTTTCCTCAGGGTGTCCAAGGATGCCCCAGGTCTTTTACAATGCTTATTATGTCCCTGGTAAGTGTCACGATAAGCATTAAAAAGGTACTCCAAAGACTGGGGTAATGTTCTATTGTTTCTGATATCCCAGAAAAAAGGACATAAGTATCACGCACCCGACCGGAGACTCAGCTGAGATGGGGGCTGCCCGTGCACCTCTTGTCCCACACCTCTGGAAGTAGTGACGGGGGATGGAAGGACAGAGCGGAGGACAGGTGCCCGATACTGGTGGCTGGCCGGTTCTTGAGGAGGCAATGGAGTGCGTTGGACCAGCTGGTGAATCAGCAGGACCGAGATGACACCGGGACCTCTTGAAACCAGAGCAGGCAACGTGTGTTAGGCCAAGGAAGCACTGGCAGGATGTCGTTGCTCAGGATGCTGATGGAACCCTAACCCTAAGTGGCAGACCAGGAGGGAAGTCAGGTTCAAGCCGTGGTCATACACAGGGAACCGAATCACAGATCTGGAGCAGGGTCAGGAAACGTAAGCCAGGGTCATACACAGGAGGTACCGAATCAGGAGGAGGAGGCGAAGTCAAATGGTCACAAGCCAGATTCATACACAGGATGTCAGGATACAAGAACAGAGTACAGGGCACACAGGGACAAGCTGAAGACCACTCAGCAACTTGGTCATGGCTTCAGGTCTGTTTAAATAGGATAGGGTGCACGCTAATGAGCTTGCACCTGTACGCTAATGGGCACGTTTCTGCTTGCTCACGTGCATGCGCTATTGCGCATAAGCGTTCCCGTACGCGCTTGTTCACGTGCTAAAGCTCGTTTTCCAGGAACTTTGGGCAATGGATTGCATACATGTGTGCGTGCACGTTTTTGAGCATCTGCAGGTAAGTCTCTTAAACTAAGAGGCATGCTTGCCGACTTAAAACTGTATACTCAACATATACAAAAGACCTCCAGGCTTCAGGAACCCCAAAAATATTAGCTCAGATTGCAATGACTGCTTACATCGTCTAGGCCTCCTTTTCCACAGAGGCAATTGGGACTCATCTACAAAAACGGTCAAGAATACCATCAATGTTGCCCACCAATAAGATCCAAACTTGCAGATCCCAACTATTGTTTAAACCGAATTAACAGCGCTAGTAGGTGAATCAAATAACCATATATTCGTGTTTGTGGACTATAAGTCATAAAAAGACCACATGAATGCAAGTACCGTTAATCATTAAAAAAAACACGGCACTGTACTAGTAAATGAACAACTATTGGCTGGCTACTGAAAGTCTGAACTGGACTGGTTGCTGTTGGTTATTTTTTCCAGGACAGGAATCAAGTTTATTTTTTGTCAAAAGCAAAAAGAATGTCATTCAGTCCACCCTGTAGGACAAACATTCCGAACACCATTACACCTTTATAATAGTGATTACTTGTCTGGAAAACACATAAAGAACAGAAAGGAAAAACAGATTTTGGGCTTTTTTTTTTTTACTGCAATTATTCTCACAATGCCTTTATTAAAGCACCAGCGATCATAATCCTGCTGAATATTTGGGGATATAACAAATACATTTTCATACACAATGAACTCATACTAGCCAAGGGCAGCAAGATACTTGCCTGTGTTATTAGAAAGAACATAATGCAAAATAGGATAAACCTAGCAATACATTCAAAAAATAATAGGCAAGCCTTTGTAAGAGAAGTAGAATGGGAGCCTGCAAGCAAAGTATTAGAATATAATCATTGCAGCTTTTTTTTTTTTAATTAAAAGTAAAAACATATTATTTTACCTTTTTCATGACCCAAGGAGACTTACAGGAAAGGTTAGGCCCCTTTCACACAGGCTAATCAGGAGGGGATCCATGCACGGCCTTTGCCTTGAGTGGCAGTTTTCAGGGGAGCGGCAGAAATGCCACCCCCCAAAACAGGCAGGCGGGAGGAGGAGGCGGCGGAGTCGAAAGAGGCAAGGAGACAGAAGAAGCGGCGTAGAGGCGCGGTGAGGGAGGCAGAGGAGTCAGAGCAGCAAAAGGGGGTGAGGTGGAGCAGCAGGAGTGGGTGGGGCCACATCGGATCAGGAAGTGGTGGGGCTGGGCCACCGTAGAACCCAGGTCACTGAAGAACCATTGGGCTGCAGAAGAGGCCATGTCCTGCAGCACCAGTCCAGCGGTGGAGGAGGCCGGGGTAAGATGATCACACTGCTGCTGAAGGGACCCTGCAGAGCACAGCATGGATTCTGCACAGCCCACCTGAGAGTCTCGGGTGGGCTCTGTGGGGTCTATGGTGGGCACCACACATCCTGCACCAGTCTCCAGGGTCCCGGGGGTGCATGATCTGTGGTGGGCTCTGCAGGGTCTCAGGGACTTTGCAGGAGCTGTGGTGAGCTCTATGGCAGAGCCCACCACAGATCCTGCACAGCCCCCCTGAGATCCTGCAAATTTAGTGTGGAGGGCGGGGGGGCGGGCTAGTTTCGTCTTGCCTAGGGAAGCCCCAAACCAGAATACACCACTGGAGACATGGATAGAGTGTTGTAACCTATAGC